TAAAAAATAATAATTTTTAGAAATGATAATTGAGTTATTTGAAGATTATAAAAAATTTTCTTTCGCACTATTAAACATTCTGTTAATTAGTCATTCAAAAAAATAATGTTTTTGACAATTATTCTTTCGATTAAAAGAAATTATAATTAATTCTTATTAGATAAAAAGAATTTCGATTAAATAAAGATTCGGAAAATAAAGATTGGACACTTTTCATGCGCCTCTTCCCATGCCTTGAGCAAGCTTTGCTATTTTTTATTATGGCCTTGACCCATAATCGAGCCTTGAGCCATTACCAAGCCTTGATCCATAACCAAGCGTTTAGCTATGATCAAGCCTTGAGGCATAAACCGTACAGCACAAGACATTCTATGGATATCTTACGGATATTCCAACAAATATCTTAAAAAAAGGAACTTTTGATATCCTGAGAATGTCTAGGGGATATTTATGGATATTTGTAGGACGTCCTGTGGATATATGTGGGACGTCGTACTTGTGTCCCAGTAATATCTCTAGGATATCTTTGGATATACTTTAAATTTCAATAAACAAATCTCGAAAAGTTGTCAAAACAGCTTGTCAACAAATGTATGTCACGAGATTAATATATCAGTGTTTTTGAACATTTGTTTTTGTTGCATGTTTAGGCAAGTAAATTGTTTTAAAAAAATTATTATACACATAGGATATTAATTTCTACTTGTATTGAATCGAGAGGATTCACATTTATTAATTCACAAAACTTATGAGACCTTTTAATCTTAAAGAAAATATTTTGTGTTTAACTATAAAGTTTACTCTCTTTTTGAACAATAGTAACTTGTCTCATGACTTGTAAATGTCTCATAAAAAGATTTATGTAAATTAATTTTAACCCGTTGACTGTCGCTGACGCATATATGCGCAAAACTAAACTGGCCAATAGTGTTTCATGCGACGCATATATGCGCAACTAAAAAAAAGTGATTAAAAACTTCTTAAATGTTCCTGAAACCGGTTACTCGGGGGTTTTCGAGGTCGCTGATTACGAATATAACATTTGTTTTCCAAAATTCAAAATGGCGGATCCAATATGGCGGACAACAAAATAAAAAATTGATCAGATTGACTTGAAACGTAGTACTCGGGGGTTTTTGGGGTCGGTGATTACGAATCTGACATCAGTTTTTTGAAATTCAAAATGGCGGATCCAAGATGGCGGAAATTTTTTCAAAATTCGTCGAATTTGTTGAAACTTGTTACTCGGGGGTTTTAAGGGTCGCTGATTACAAATCTAACATTAGTTTTCCAAAATTCAAAATGGCGGATCCAATGTGGCGGACAACGAAATAAAAAATTGATCAGATTGGTTTGAAACTGAATACTTGGGGATTTTCAGGGTCGCTGATTACGAATCTGTCATTATTTTTCTAGGGTATTTATCGAAATTCGATTTCACCAAAAATTATCATACTGATGTCATATTAACCAGTTTCAAACAAATTCAATAAAATTTAAAAAATTTTCCGCCATATTGAACCAGATATTTTGAATTTTGAAAAACTGATTTCAGATTCGTAATCAGCGACCCTGAAAATCCCCAAGTATTCAGTTTCAAGCCAATCTGATCAATTTTTTATTTCGTTGTCCGCCATATTGGATCCGCCATTTTGAATTTTGGAAAACTAATGTTAGATTCGTAATCAGCGACCCTTAAAACCCCCGAGTAACAAGTTTCAAGCAAATTCGACGAATTTTGAAAAAATTTCCGCCATCTTGGATCCGCCATTTTGAATTTCGAAAAACTGATGTCAGATTCGTAATCAGCGACCCCAGAAACCTTAGGGTACCAAGTTTCATAAAAGCCATTAAAATTTTTTTCAACACACTTTTGGCCCAAACAGTGGAAATCTCGTTGACAGCCAAGGGGTTAAATGTATTATATTAAATTGAATTAATTTTATCAGTTGATACAATGAAATATTTTTAGTAACATTTAATTTAAGTGTTTGACGCGTAACCTAACCTCTACATATAAATATTTTCAGAATTACCAAAAGTATACTCTAAAATATTTATTGTAGTACGTACTTGTTAAATTGCAATTATACATTTTTGAATTTATTAAAATATATTATATTGTTTTATTTGTAATTAGAACCTAATTTTGATATGTTTCAAGATTTTTTAGTATATGTTTATGGAGCGAATATCCCACAAATATCTACCATGGATATTTTAGGGATGTCTTAGATGAGGGAACCTTGAGCCATGATCAATCCTTGAGCCATAATCAAGCCTTGAGCCATTACCAAGCCTTCCCAAGCCTTGAGCAAGTTTTGCTATTTATGATTATGGCCTTGAGCCATAATTAAGCCTTCATCCTCAATCCAGCCTTAAGCCATAATCAAGCCGTTAGCCATAATCGAGCCTTGCTGCCTTGAGCCATAACCAAGTGTTGAGCCAAAATCAAGTCTTGATCCATAATCAAGCTTTGAGTCATAATCAAGCCTTGTTCCATAACCAAGCCTTGAGCCTTCAGGGGACCCATATAAGGATCTAAAAAAATCGCGATGAGAATAAATTCAAAAAATATACTTAAAAGTTGATATTTTCTTTTTCGAAAAAATTTTCAAAAGTAGGTTGAAAGAAAACTTTCAATATCGACACCACAAAAATAAACAGAATTGCACACAACTCCGGACATTTATTTAGGGTGATGACACCCTTCTATAATTAAAATTGCAATGCTCTAACTATTTTCGTTCGAAAGATAATGAATTTTAACGGTTTTGGCAGTTTAACTTTTCGCCCCAGTCTCCCCTATATAATTCAAAAATTTAGTTTTTAACAATCTCTCAGACCGAATAATTGCAAAATATTTAGTTCGAACATTCAATTTTTATGTTTTCATTTTATTTGACACTTTTTAGAGTTAACTTTAATAATAATTAATCAATTATAATTTTTAATTACAATTTAAATGTTTTAATTATAATTTTAATTATAATTTTTAAATAATAATAATAATAATAATTTTAATTATGTTTCGAGAATTTTCGAAATTGAAATTTATAAAAAAATTACAGAATAAAATTTTGTGCTTGAAATATATTAATATATTAATTATAATAATATATTTTAATAATTAATATATTTAATATTATTATTAATATATTTTATAATTTTAGTCATACATAATTTGTAAATAATATTATTATTTCCTTTCATTTGTGATACAAATAATAAATAATAATAATTATCTATAATATTTATTACTAGGTATAAAATGTAATTAATATAATATAATTACAAAATTATAAACTGCAAAGAAATAGCTTTCAATTAGGAATTAATAGAATGTCGATAATAAAATTGTTTTTTGCTTTTGATAGTAAAATGAATCATTTGTCACGAACAAAAATATTAGAAAATCGTTAAATTGCAACATCGAATAGGAAGATTATTAGTTTCTTTTAATACTTTTGCTAAAGCACTCAATCCTTGTGTATTATACTTTTTTTATCGATTTATATTCATTCGTTTTTTGTGCTTATTATAAAATTAGTTTCCAGTCTTAATTAATTTCCAACTAATTTTTAAACATTCGTAATAAATAATAAATCATAAAGAACTGAAAATGTCGTTGAATCTGAAAATTTTTTTCTATTCAAACTTAATCGTAAATATTTATCAAAGAAAGGATATATGTTATTTTTTTCATATATATTAATACTAATATTATTATTTACATAAATATTATAGAAAAATCTTGTGATTAATATATTATCAAGATTATTATTGGTAAAAATTCTAGAAAGAAAATTTACAAGTGGAATATTTTTTTGGCAAAATATACAAAGAGATAACTTAAGTGCATATATTTATTCATATTTATATAGATATATGTATAAATCACAGAAAGGGGTTGAAGGGGAGGGGTGTTTTTAAAAAAATATTTTCTCCTCAAAGTTTCTCCGAAGAGATGGAGATTAATGAGTTAATTGCTTTCGTGTTTGCAAAAAGAAGATTTTATCGATTGATGCAAGGAGTTTTTTACAGCAACCATCTGTGCACTTAAGATTGTTAATCTCAACGTGTTAGTATCAATTAGTCGTCTTTATTGTTAGTTACTCGCCCACGTATCTACAAAACGAGTAAAAGTGGAATAAGACCTTTTATAAACTTGTTTCAATATTTTACATTCCTCCCCCACTATTTCAATACATGTAAAACGCTAAAATGTAGAAATCATTTTTTTCTAAATTCTTAAATCAGAAAATATTTTTGCAAATAGAAATAATAAATGGCTGATTCGATACATTTTTTAAATAAGTTTTTATTTTAATTACCTATTTTTATGAACTGTTTTAAAATAAAATAAAATTTTTTTTATTTTTTAATAAAGGAATTAATGTTTAATGTAATTACTCTCTAAATCTGAATGTGTGAAATTTCACTTATTACGAGTTATAAGTCGTCTTCTCGATCAATAAGTGAATTTTTTACTTATTTTGAGTGTTTCACTTATTACAAGTGTATATATGCACTTATTGAACGAGAGAGCGGCTTATAACTTACAAATAAGTGAATTTTTACATATTCAGATTTAGAGAGTAATTTCGCAACAAATTGTATTCATTATTCATAAGTATTCACATCTTTGAATCTATTATTGTAATTTATTTAATTGATTAAAAAAAGTTTTTCTGGTCTTTTTCCTCTTCCTCGTATTTTTTATGCAAACTATTATCTAGAACTTTGGTAATTCGGATATGCTTGGAACTATTATTTTATTATCACTGATTCGACTTAAAAGCAATCTTATAAATATTTTCGGAGTTTTCTGAAAACTTTCATCACTGCAGCGAACTCTTTTCTACATTTTTCTGTATAATCGATCTTTTAAATTCCATGTAAAATAGCACAAAATTGAAAAATAAAATAAGAAATCTTTTTGTTAGAATTGAAAGAATTCGAATAAAACGAATATAAATGTTATCAATTTGCATAATTAGGAAAATTTCGAAATTACTTTTTAACTTTCAAGTCGTTTCTCTAAATCTTAAAACACTTTTCTTTGAACGTAATCTTTTTTTCTTTGGGTTTCGATTATGAAAATTTTAGCACTCAAGTGAAGAGTTTTGTAAGCACCGTTTTTTCTGTTTCTTTTTTTGACTACAATTAATCAAGATGATTTGACGTTGAACGAAAAGATTTCTCTTCCACTTGTTGTTGTCCTCGTCAGTAAAGATCAGAAAAAGATACCTGAGAAGAAACACCGGAATGTAAATGATGAAGTGCATGTAACTCCTCAATGGACGTTGATGGCATACTGTTGCTGTCGCCTAGAATACCGGAAGTTGATCCCACTCCTGGCGAGTCGACTCCAGTGCTCAACGACGCTGGAGTACCTGGACATACGACATTATTCGAACTGCTGTTACCCTCTTGACGCATTATGTTTCGTCTCCATTTCGCCCTCGCGTTTTGAAACCATACCTGAAATTCGAGAATTATATTTCTGGGACTCTAAAAAATTCAACTCCTTTCGTTTGAATTTCAGAGTGGAAAATAAAATTTGTAAATTAGATATGAATTTTGAGGGAAAACTCTCTAAATTTAAATATGTGAAAATTCACGTATTTGTAAGTTATAAGTCGCTCTCTCGTTCAATAAGTGCATATACACTTATAATAAGTGAAATTCCATTTATTATAGTGACAAAAATGTAATAAAAAAATGGTATTTAAAAAGAAATTAAAGGATAAAATGAAAAAGAACTTAAATTAAATAAGAAGATTAAAAAAGAAAGAGAATAGTTAAAAAATATTCCAAGAAAAAATCTTGTATGAAGGAAAGAAGCGTAAAAATCCAATTGAAATACGAAAAGAAGAGTCCAAAAATATTCCAAGGAAAAATTGTGTCCCAGGAAATAATAGCGTAAGAAAAATTTAAAGAGAAAATTATCCCAAAGAAAAGTTAAGCGACAAGAAAAAAGCATAAGAAAAATTCACTTACAATCACTTAATCCGAAAATATTAAAAGTTACCAGAAAAGCACAGAAGTTCCTGACAAAAGGGCGATTATTTAATTTCATTTCTACTTTCATTTTCATTCTCAGTTTCATTTTCACTTTCACATATTTTTATTTTCACTTTCATTTTCATTTTAACGATGACAAATTTATTTATTTTATTTTCACTTTTACTCTGAAAGATTTTTATTTCCACTCTCATTTATAATTTGCAATTTTTACTTTCACTTAAACAGAATTTTATTTTCACTTTCACATATTCATTAAAATTTTAAATGAATAGATTTAACATTTTAATGAATATGTGAAAGTGAAAATAAAATCAATTAATAATATCAACTATTAAAGTGAAAGCGAAATTAAATGTGAAAAAAATTTCTACTAAAGTGAAAATAAAATTGCAAAAAATAAAAGTGAAAATTACAGTGAAAGTGTAAATATATTAAAGATGAAAATTAAAGTGACAATAAAATTCTGTCAAACTGGAAGTGGAAATGAAAATAAAAATCCTTTAAAGTAAAAGTGAAAATGAAAATACAAATTTGTCAAAGAGGAAATGAGAGTGAAAGTGAAAATGAATGTTAAAATAAAAATCAACGTAAAAATGAAATTACGTAATCCACCCCCAATTGAAGTTTTACTATGAAAGTAAAAGCAACTCTATTTGTTTTTTCCGCGTAGAAGAAATTTTATTTAATATTTTTTTTATTTATTTGGTTTATACACCCGTCTTAAGCTTATCTAGCTATACAAGTGTATTTACATTTTCTCTTACATAATATTTCTTATATACATTTTCCTAATACTAAGTTTTGCGCCTACAGAGCGACTTGAAAATTAGGAGTACTCGCATTTGCCTGGACCACCCGTCTAATGGGTTTTCTCGCCAGTGGAGAGGGAAACTGTAGAAAACCTCTCCTGAGTACAACCGGTTTATCGACAGTCGAGATCTAATGGTGTGTACTGGACAATAATCGACGGTGCACATCATTATACCTCGACGTCAAACCTCCCGCTCAGATTGTCTCACGTGCCGTAAAAATACCAAGCCAAATGGGCGCGAACCAAGGGTACTATACCCTTGGTCCTTAAACGACCGCCAAGCGAGGCATCTATCCGACTGAGCTAATCTGTCGGATTAATTAATATTGAAAGAGAAAAGTAAAAAAAATTCTCAGAGGAAAATGTTTTTTCCAGAATAAAAGATTAAAATTCTGTCCTAAGAGAGAAAAGAATAAAAAAATTTTATTGAAAGGCGTTAAAATAGATTGAAAAACTGAAATTAATTCTATAAAATGAAAAATTACTGGATGTTTAAAAAATGTATTCACGTTGAGTTTAAACATATTATCAATTTATGTCAAAGAGTATTTTTTGTGCTCATCGTATATTTTCGAAGGACATAATTCTTAATCTGAAAAATTTCTTTTTCTCCTTGAATGTAGGTATTCTTTTTTTGCTAAATTACCTGAAGGACTCGCTTGGATAATCCAGTTTTTTGCGCCAACTGTTTGAGGTCTTTGGCGTCTGGATTTTGATTAATGGCAAAGTAACTTTTCATCGTTCGCAGTTGATGATGTTTAAAACTTGTTCGCATACGTTTGGTTCTTTGATTTTGGTGCACGGGTCCAGGAGATCCTACTGATGCATCATAAGCGGCCAATGACTCCATCGATGAAGAGAGTTCATTTGGATGAAGTAATTCTGCAAATTGTAAAAAGAATCAATTATTGTAGATATTTTTTATTAGTTTAATTTTATACCCTGTAAAAATGTATATATGATTTAAATATTATAAATAGAAATAAATGTTTATTTATGACAAATAATATTTATTTGCATTAAGGGCATTTGAACTGTTATGAAGTATTAATTTTGGAACACATGCTTTGCACAAATTGCGACTTCATAACTGTCCAAATTTCCTTTAAAGAAAATTGATCGATCTTTCCTTGTTGATGACAGTAAGCAGGATTGTTAATCAAAGTTTTAATAACAGATTTTTACTTTATTGTTATTAAAAATATTGTTTTTCTTCTCTTTTTTTTAACAGAGCATATTTTTCTGAAGAGGATAGCCGATCGGTTATCGATACGTCAAAATAAATGCGTATAGAAATAACCTAAACTTGATTTCGAAACTTTTCTTTTATTAAAACACCCTGTGCAGAAAATTTCACATTATTTGTTCCTGATTTCCGACCTAGCTCCGGTCCGATTTTCTGGTTTGGCTCCAGGTTAATAAATGGGAGTGTCCCCGGCCAGGGCCAGACCGGGTTGACCTTAGAAAATAGATCAGAAAAAATACTTGGTAAATTACTGTCAATGCGTTTGAGCAACTACAATAAATAAGTTCAATTTTTAACATTTTGAATATATTTGATTTATTTTATATTTGAATAGTTTATTTGAGATCGTTTCTTATTGACAGAAAATTGTACTTATTCTTCAATTGCAATTTTTACTCACTAAAAATGATTGAAACTAAAATAGTAAACATTTTACTATTAAAAAAATTTTGAAAAATTTTTTTCTTTGCAAAATAAGATTTTTAAAAATAAAATAACATGTACGGTATGTAGCGCTGAATCAAAATAATAATTTTCAAATATTGTTTATAGGGAGCGTTCACAAATAATGTCACGCAATTTTTCGGGATTTTAGACCCTCCCTCCCCCTGTCACGCAATTTCACATGTAAAAATACACTGTGTCACGTTTAGAAGAGTCCCCCCCTCCCCCCAAAAACGTGACATCATTACAACTGTACTAATGAAATATTTTGATCTATTGATCAACTGTTAATTTGTTCATTTGATATAATTATTCTAAGTTTCATATAAGTTTTTTCTAAATTTTAGTAAATTTTATATTAACCCTTAAAGCGCACACTTACGAATCCATCCTCAAACCGCACACTGGGTGTGCGACACCTGGGGACTTTAAAGGATAAGGTGTTAGTCTTTATCTCTATTTATGTACTTGTGTATGTTTACGTGTTTTTATGCCTGTAAAGGTTTTGAAGATCGACAACAAAGGATGACGAGTCAGTCTGACGTGAGCCCTTGCCAAATAGGAGAGACTGGGGTAAACCCGCTCACTAGCGATTTTACGCTATGAACTCAACTTAAGATGGAGATATTGGTACTGTGAATAGTACTTAACATTCAACTTATATTAACGAACTTTCGTTTAGTTTCATGAATTCAACATAGAATCAGAGGCGATCAAATGTTTTTAGAGCTGTCAGAAAAAAACGTATTTTGGATTTTTAAGTTTTTCGATAATTATTTTTGACTTTTTGAGTCTTAATTTATCTGGCAAATTTTTTTTGTTGCTATTGGATGTCCTTCTTCGAAGTACATATTATAGTTTTGTCTTATTTTAAAAAGATTTAATTGAATTTATTCTGAAATGTGAGAAATACACTCGGGGTAAAGTCGCTCACGTGAAGTCGGGGTAAAGCCGTTCACTTAGTTTTAAATTTAAAATTTAGAATAAAATAATTTCACGTATTATATTTTAACAATAACACAATTTATGACTTATTAAAACCAAAATTGTAACTGGGCGAATCTCTCAAAAAGAACAAATTCTAAATTGTAATTAAAAAAAAAAAGTTTTAAAAACATTAAAATGACTATTCCTATGAGAAGAGGAGGACTATAGTAAATCTCTAAAATATGTGGTTACGATCTTTATAAACATTATTGTTTAAAAAATAATTGTTTATTGTAAAATAATTGTTTAATTTTTAGTCGCAAATACAATGAGTGAATTGGCTTGAAAATGGTTACTCTAGGGTTTTCGAGGTCGCTGATTACGAATCTAAGGTCAGAATTCAAAAATTCAAAATGTCGGATCCAATATGGCGGTACAATTTGTAAAAATTGATTGGATTCTTCTCAAATTTGTTTTCTAGGGGATTTTGGGGTCGCTGATTACAAATCTGATGTTATTTTTTTTTAATTCAAAATGTCGGATAAAATATTTGAAAATTAATTGGATTCTCTTAAAACATGTTACTCGGGGGTTTTTGGGGTCGCTGATTACAAATCTGCGGTCATAATTCAAAAATTTTTAATGGCGGATCCAATATGGCGGTCAAATGTTTAAAAATTAATTTTATTTCGTCCGCCATTTTGGATCCGCCATTTTGAATTTTAAAAAACTAACATTAAATTCGTTATTAGCGACCCCAAAAACCCCCGAGTAACGTAATTTAAGCCATTTCACTAATTTCTGAAATATTTCGTCCGCCATTTTGGATCCGCCATTTCGAATTAAAAAAAACTAACATTAAAGTCGTAATCAGCGACCCAAAAAACCCCCGAGTAACGAAATTTAAGCCATTTCACTAATTTCTGAAATATTTCGTCCGCCATTTTGGATCCGCCATTTTGAATTAAAAAAAACTAACATTAAAGTCGTAATCAGCGACCCCAAAAACCCCCGAGTAACGAAATTTAAGCCATATCCCTAAATTCTAAAATATTTCGTCCGCCATTTTGGATCCGCCATTTTGAATTTAAAAAAAACTAACATTAAATTCGTAATCAGCGGCTCCGAAAGCCCCGGTAATGAGTTTTAAATTTATTTATCATTTATTTAGCAAAAAACGAAAAAAGTACTGTCGGTTACGGAATGGAGTTTTTGCTCCCTTGGACGACGCTTAAATTGATTACTTATATATTAAAAAATTTTCTAAACTTTGAATTAAAACGTTAAATGTCGTTAAGTTTTATAAAAATAAAAAATTATTCTAAGAATTATTAATAAAAATTTTCATTTACTTTCCAAAAAAAGGAAAAGCCACTGGCGGTAACGGAATGGAGTTTCTTTCTGTCGATGCCGACTACTCAACTGAAAATCTAATTTATATTGAATATTTTCTTTTTTTTATCCTAATTCGCACTGATCTTTAATCACACTAGTATTCTAAATACTATTTACCTCTGTATTGCTCCCCTAACATGTTTGTTTATCTTTAATATTTATATTTGTGACCGCTAACGGAATGGAGTTTTCAATGGCGCACAAAACTAATTTAATTCTAGAAAATAGAATTTGAAATATTTTGCCTTACCTTTTCCGGATTTAAGTAAAATAAAGAATAATTAATAAATATTACTAAACAAGAGATGAAATTAGATTTTAAATGGGAAGTAATATTCATTCTTTGAGTAAAATTAGCTTCATGCACGGTAACGGAATGGAGTTTTTGCACCATATGAATATGAATATTTCAGATAATATAAATTTTTTATTTTTTTTCACATATGACCTGATTAAATCGTGTTAAATACTATCATATGGCAGCTATTATTTTTATTAATTTTAAATATTTTTTAGAAAAATGTCTTGAACGTGTCATTTGTCCTTTTTGAGAGATTCACCCAACTACATTTCACTTTCTCTTAATAAAAGATAACACTATTTAAATCCATAGTTGTAATTCATTAAATCTATGTTCATTATTTATTAAACCAATTTCTTGTTTATAGAATTGTTTAGGGGAGAGTAGGCTACATTGAACCAGCGTCAACAGTGAACCACTTCAATTTTCTGAGAAATGACTGAGTGAAATTTTTTCTTATTTAATATATAAGTTAGTTTTACTGAAACAAACTATGTCCAAAAATTTCGGGCACGTAGGTTTATTATTTACAAAGAAAAACTAAAAAAACTGTTTTTCACGTACAAAACAAAAAATTTGGTGGAATTATAATGACGTTTTTTTATTGAAATAGGAAGTTTTAAAAATTAGTAAACTTGCGATTTATTTCGCTTAGGGTGTCAACTTCAATATTCCGATGTGATAAAGAACTTTAAATCTTACACAAATTTATTATAAACAATTTTTGTTGTGAATGTCATGTGAATACAGTGAGTGCGGCATCATTGAACCACCCGAAAAAGCAAAGAATTTTCAATTTTAAGAGTTGTAAAATTGTCTGCTCTACTAATTAGTAAGAAAAATACTGGAAGACATGCTTTCATCACAATTGTGAACGAGATAAACTCAAACTGTCACTTTACCTACCTAACCTGACATTAAAATACATTAATCTCCTATATTAACAAGTAATAACAATTAAATAACAATTTTCTATTTTTTTGAGTGGAAAATAAGATTTTTTACAATTTGTAAGTGGAAATATTATTTTTGAAGTAAATTGTAGTGTTTTATTAGAGGTGGTTCAATGTAGACACACATCCTTCAAAATAAGAAAAGTGTGACTTGTTAGAAAAAAATTAAATTTAATTATTTAATCATAATAATTTGTGTTTGTAACGTGTGTATTAACTAAAGGAGTACTTCAGCTTAATTTTGATACAAAAACCTGATCGAAATTAGTAAAATTTTATTAGTTCTTGGACTTTATAAAATACCCGGTTCAATGTAGCCTACCCTCCCCTATACAACTCATAAATTATCAATAATAAATCATACTTAAGACGGGAATAAGACGAATTTTAATATTTAAAAAATAAAACTGTTCCGTCTTGAAAAGATAAAGTGAGCGGGTTTACCCTGGAAAATTGTGATTTCGAAATTTGGTATATGTTTATTAAAAAGTTTCTCTAAGTAAAACTAAAAAAGATAAATCAAAAACTCTTTTTTATTTTTTCAGTAGAAATCATAAGCTTTAAAATGATATAAATTAACTTGGATTTAGAGAATAATTTCCTAGATTTTAGCCGA